GTGATTTGGGGGTCAGTTTGAGTTTCTGTAAACAAAAGACAATGTTTATATTGAATATTGAATTTTTAAAAATTATCATTTATTTTTATTATAAAAAGGGCATTTTATTGATATTAAAGTTACTACGGTATAAATACTAATCATGCAGCAGGTATAACTGCTACATTTAACAATATCAGAAAATAAAAATAAAAAATAAGAATTTTACCTTTGGTACACATTTTTGAGCCAACTTGCACACGCATTGAGCATTTAGACTTTGTCCCTTTTTTTCTGCACTTTGTAGTGGATGTTTTTGAATTATCCTATAATAGTATAATATACATGTAGATTTTTTTTTTAAATCATACAGTACTTTAATATCTGAATTACAAACTTAGTAGGCCTACATAGATGTAATAATAATAATAATAATAGCCTATATATTAAACAACAATAATATAATAAATAAGTATGAGTTGGTAGACTGAGAAAGGAGTACATACAAATTAAGTAATATTAATACCTGCAAGTTTCTGCTCTGCTGATATTCTTTAACAAACGAGGCTAGTAAATGAGATGATGCATTTTCAATTGTTGGTACTGGCAGTGTGCTTTCACCTTCCTCACTTTTCTGCCTACTATCTTCTAATATGTTTTCAACATACTAGAATATTGAAAAAAAACCAAAAAACAAAAAAATAAAAACAATACGAATTGACCTAATTATAAAATATCAATAGTTCTGACATAGCATGCATAATGGCATCTAATATTAATGATGATAACATAGGTCTGCCTATATTTTTAGGTTAGCCTCTAATCTCACTACCTAGGCTATAGGCTAAGTACTCTCGATAAGTAGGACCCACCCGCCCAGGGAACAGTTAAATTGGTAGGCCTACAGGTGGTAGTAGTATAGAGGTGGCTTTGGTATAGGCATATTACTTAGGCTATAGGTATGTTCCAATATATACATAGGCCTTTTATCAACTGCAAAAGAATCACTGAGGAATATAATGTAAAACGTTACGTAAACATACGACGTTACTAGGGATACAATTTCATAAACTACTCACTGTACTAGCCTAGGCCTAGTAGAGTAGTACGCTAGCTTATGTTGCTAGGTACGTAGTAAACATGACGCCAGAAAGGTCGGCGACCTGTCCGACTGGACCAACACGGAACTTAATACT